TATTAAATAAATTCATATTAAAATATTAGTATTTTATTTTGTTTAAATAAAATAAAATATAAGTAAAAATTTTTTAAATGTTTTAAAGCTAATCTTATCGCATTAAAGCCACCAATTTAAGTCAAATTTTAGGCCTTAAATATAAAGAAGCATACAAAAAAATAAGGATCATAGTACAAAAAAGCAATTTATATTTAAGGCATAAAAAAAGATAAATATATATAAAATACATAATTTTTTTAAAAAAAAATAATAAGAATATAAAAATAAATTTAATTAATAAAAAGAATATTTTATATAGTAAAACATAAATATTATAAAAAAAAAAATGCAATGCAAAATAAAAATTAATATATATAATAAAATCAATAATAATAATATTAGTTAAATATGTATTATCAAAGTAAAAACATAAATAAAAAATATAATAAAATTTTATTAAGTTGATTAGTATAAAATATAATAAAAAAAAATATATTATATAATATTATAAAATATTATATTAAATAAAATAAAATAAATTAAAAATATGAAAAAAATAAAAATGAATATATATATAAAAAAATATATATATATAAATATATATAAATAAATAAATATATATATAATTTTATGTATATATTTATATATATATATATATATATATATATATTGATTTTAGTTTTAATTAAATAAATAAATAACTAAAAAGAATTAATAATTATTTTAAAATTTTAAAATAAAATTAAAAAAAATTTAATAATAAAAAAAAAATATAAATTAAATAAAAAAATAAATAAATATATATATATATAAATAAATATATAAATAAATAAATAAATAAATTACTTAATTTTTTTTTTATTTTATTTTTAAATGTTTTTATAATATTTTTATCTTTTTTATTATAATATTTTAGAATTTTTTTTTAATTAACTAGTTTTTTTTTATTATTATAATTCAATTATATAAAAATATATATTAAAAAATTATATTTATAATTATTTATAATAAATTTATTTTTAATCTAATCATTATACTTTATTATATTTTTAATTTTAAATATGTATTTTAATCTTTATAAATGTCAAATTTTGAATATAGTCATATTTTTTAGATATTTTAATATCTATAAAATTTAACGCTTATATATTTATACTATTTTTTTTATTTTATTTTTATATTTTTTATCTAAACATAAACATTAGAAATTTAAATTTAGCTTTTAAGATAAAAATAAAAATTATTTGATTATTACAACTATATTTATTTTATAAATCATTTTTCTTATTAAAATAATATGTTTTTTCCATTATAAAATTAAGGAATAAAATATATATTTATAAATCTTTTTTAATTTCAATATGATGAATTTATTAGTTTTTCTTTTTAAGTATTTATTTACTAATATTTGATTCATAGTTTTATAAATACAATTGACATATTTATATTTATAATTGTAATTATAAAATGATGAAGATGAATATATTATAGATTAATAACTTTTAAAGATATAAGATTTTTTTAATTAATTTTAATTTTTTTATTTATTATTTCTTTATTAATAAAGAATTTACATTATATTATAAATTATTAAATTAAAATATTACTATAATAATATTGTAAAATTCTAATTTCTTAAATTTTAACTTTTTTTTTTTTGAATTTTTTATTTTGTACTTAAAGAAATGTTGTAAAATTTTATATTAGTTATAGAATATAATAATAAATATGTGGAACTTAATTTTAATTTGATATTTAAAAACTTTGAAAAAAATAATAGTAAATTTTTTGGTTTTTAAAATTCTTAAATAATAGCATTAGTTTTTGTTAAATATATAAAAAAATATAAATGATATTTATTTTTTATTAATATTTCATTCAATTCTAAAATCTTATTATAATTGTTAAACAATATTTTTTTCTTTAATCCAATAATTGTAAATATCAAATGCTTAATTATTTTCCTTTTTCTTGTTTAAAATCTTATTAATTTGTTTAACCCCCTCAAAATTAAGGTAATTATTATTATCTATTTTTTTTTAAGCTTTTGTTTCTTGCCACCATTTGTTTTCTTTGATAAGGATATTAATATCTTCAAAGTTTTCATATTCAAAACAAATATTTTCTTTAAATAAATATTCGTTTATTTTATTTTTACATGCAATTTTTCTATTTTCAATTATTATTTTTTGTAGATCTTTTATTTATTCATTTTTTTATTATTCCTCTATTAAATATTAGCTATTTTCTTTTTAAGCAATATCATAAATGCTTTGTATTTTAAATTCTAAAGGTTCTAGTTTTTCTTTTATTATATTTTCTTAATTATCTTCATTCCAAATAACGCTTTTTTATTGATATTTTCCTAATTTTAATAACTATTTCAACAGTGCATTGATATTTTCATATTTATTAGTCACAATAATATCGTTTATGATTTAATCAGCAATCTAAGTAGGTAATTTAAGTTAATCTTAATATAAAATAGTCTCACATTTTAAGTTAAAAAGAATATTAATTAATTTATCTATCTAATTTAAAGTATTATTTATTATGTTTAAGGCAAAATATGTACTTTTATCTGAGGACGGATTCTCAGATTCCTTTTCGTCTTAAATTTTTATTGCAAACTTATAATTCTATATAAAATCTACTAAAGAAATTTCTGGGTTAAATCCAATTATTTATTTATGAGTTTATTCATGACACTTTTTGCATATTATTGTCATATATTCATAATTACATCCTGGATTCAAACATAGTAGAGTACAAGGAAATCCACTTAAGCACCTAGTGCATAACTTTTAATATAAAGGAATATTATTATTATTCATTTTTTTAATTATAATGTATATATTGCTTTGAATTTAATTATAAATTAAAATAAAAATTAACAGAAAAAAAGAAATTATATCAAAACAAATTCAATTTTATTATATTATATATTTTTTAACAAAAAAATATCAATTTTATTCGAATTCTTGTTAAAATTCACCCGCCCAATTTTATGCTTATTAATCCATTAATAAATACTTAGAATTTGAATAAGCATAATCAACTTCTGGCATTGGTAATTCTTCTAATTTTAAAATTTCAAATTCATCCTAAAATTCTAATGGATTATTATTTTAAATTTTTCCTACCAAATCAAACCTTTACATACACATAAAGCAGGTTTATAAATAGCTCCATAAATGCTTCGCTTCTGGATTAAATGAAAGTGCATTTAAATATAATCTAGCTGCTTCTACATAATCTCCTTTATAAGCATGAGCGATTCCTAAATTAACCCAAACTCTTACATAATTAGGTTTTAGTTCGAGTGCTCTATGGTAAGCTTCAATAGCTTCATCAGCTCTACCTAATTAAGCAAGAGTAGCTCCTAATTTGTTCCATAAAGAGTAGTTATTAGGATCAATCTAAAGAACATTTTTAAAAGAAAGAACTGAGAGTTCATAGTTTCTTGCAATATATTATAAAACAGCTAAAGAAACATGTAAATCTGCATTTTCGGGATGCATAGCAGAAGCCTTTTCAAAGGCCTAGAGCATGTTAAAATTCATAGCCTTAATTTCTTCAATAGTATAATCATCATATTCTTTATTTTTTTAAGGAATAATATTATCCGAAATTGGCAAGTCTTGTTACAAAGGAGAAATAATATACCATTATTTTAAAAAGTTCATAGCTTTAACTTCATCTAATATATTAGTACAAGAAACACCTAAAGCTAAAAATACATCAGGATTATTATTGTCAGTTTTTAAGGCATTTAAAAGACAAGCAACTGCTTTTTAATCGTTATCGTTTTCTTGATGAAGTCTTCCCATTATTCTCCATGCATTTGAGTTGTTTTGGTTTTTGTCTGATTTTTATATATGAGCCTCTAAGGCTAATATTGCATCAAACGGCTTACCGTTCGCCATAAATTCTAATGCTAAATGCATCGGATTTACATGATCTAAATATTGATTGTTTGCTTAAAATTAATAATGATCACTTGCATCTTTATATAATTATTGTTCTTATAAATCCGATGCTTTTTACCAAGCATCTGATATTTAATCATAATTTCCTTACTCATTCATATATTTAAGTACATCTTAATATTCTTATTCGAGCCTTTTGGTAAATTAATCTTCATCTTCTCTTTCCTTTTCATATTCATTTCTTTTTTATATAATTAATTGTATAAATATATATAGAATTTCTTTACATTTTCTATGCCCAAAACTCATCTAAATCAGGTAATTTATTTTCTTGTTAATATTTTTATTCTTCCTAATTTGCCTAACCCCAAGCATTTTCAAAAACTTTATTTTTAAGAAAAATTAATATACTAAATATATAATATATAAATAAATACGTTTATCTAAATCTTAAGGTTTTTAATCAGGTACTCCTTGAATTAATTAATCGCCTTAAATTTTTAATTCTCCAGTTCTTAATTGGTTCAAGAAACTAAGAAATTTAGAATTTTTAAATCTTGGAGAATCATCAGCAGCCATTTTGACAAACATTTAATTTGCGTTATCCTTAACAATTTAATCTTCATTTAAGGATTACTCTTATTATTTTTCTGTTTTTTAATATTATTATTCCATTATCATTTAACGTGCAAATTATTCAGCTTCGTATTATTATTATTAATTTATCATTTATTATTCATAATTTTATTATATTTACATTCTATGTTACATTTCTAAATTCTTTTAATGCTCAAATTCTGCATTCATCATTTATTCATGTATTTCTGCTCTTTGTTATTCTTATAAATAGCTTTATTCTAATGTATGTTATGAAGAAAAATCTGTTTGAAGTTTTTAAAATTAATCCTCCATTATTTACATTCTTTACCTTTCCAATAAAGCATTTTAAACTAATTCTCCATTTTAATCACCTATCATAAAACCTTAAAGCTTTTCTCTTTTTTATTATTTGATAATTAATTAATTTAATTATTTTTTACTGATTTTAGGCTTTTCCCATTATTAAATTATCCATAAATTTATTAAATGGATTATAATTCCTTTACATAGAAGAGTCTCCGTTTACATTACAAGCTCCTCCTGTAAAAATATCACGCATAGCCATTTTTAGTATGTTATTTTTTTTTTATTTTTTTCTAATAAGATTTATCTTTTTTCAAATATTTTATAATTTATCTTATGATGATGTAACACATAATGCAAATAATATTAAATAAATAAATATATCTTTATTAATAAATTTGTATTTTTATATTTACAATATTAAAAAATTAATATTTATTATTTTGATTGTTTTAAATATGTTTTATTTTTCAAAAAAAAAAAAAATATTAATATATTAAAAGCATTTTTTTTATAGTGCTTATAATAAATCAATATTTATGTTTAATTGAACTTTGTGTTGTCAATCTTATTTAACTAAATTATCTTTTATATTAATATTTTCTATATTTTAAGGAATATTTTCTAAATTAATTTATGAAGGCTATTTATTAATATCTGATTTTATTTCTGATTAATCCATATTATCATATATATCATTATTTTTGGGTTATTATATTAGCTTTTCAGTATTATTATAAGATTTTATTTCAATATTACTCGGTTTATCTTTTTATTCTATTTACATCTTAGTTTGCTTAATATAATCATCCTATCTTTAAAAAATAAAAATATTATATAATTATTTCATACAATTATAATATTAATTAATAAAAATACTCATATAATATTTTTTGCAAAAAATTTTTATCAAACAATGTAAAAACGATCTTTAATCTATTGAAAATACCTTTTCTTTATTAATTATAATTATTTAGTTAAAAGTCTTCATCTTTATTATTTTTTTAGGAAATACTTTTTAGATATTAAAAATAAAATAAAATATTTTTTTTTTTTTATAAAAAAAAAAACTATGTTTTTTATTTTTCTATAATAGTTATCAAAAATGAAGCATGAATAAAAATCTATAAATTATTAAATAAAAAAATAAAAAATAAAAAAAATACATTTAAGATGCAATAAAATAAAGTAATTGTCAACATAATTCTTCCATTATTATTTTCAAGGAAATTTTCATTAGATTTCATTGATAAAGCATAAGAAGTTGATCCTTTAAATCCTGAAAACCATAAAATAAGTTTAAAAGCTTTATCAATTTTATTTTTTCTATGTTTATCAAGCATTTAAGAAACAATTTAAACATCGAAAAATCTAGCTAAATTAGTTATTAACAAAACAAAAGCAATTAAAAATATTCCTGTTTATCTTTATTTTAATAAATAAAAAAAATATGAGTAAAAAATACTTCCAAGCCAAATCAAAGCAAACAAATCCAATGCCAATAAATATAAAAACAATATTAGAAAAATGATATGACAAATTACTATAAATTTATTAATTTATTTTTTATCCTGCTTAAGAAACATTAGGAAGTGTATATTTTGCCATTGTAATTCCACAAAATAAAATGCTCACAATTCCAGACATTTTAAGTCCTTGAGCAACCAAATAACTGAACCAAGGAACAATTAATAAAATTGTCATTTCTTGGTTATTTTATACATTTTTGTTTTATTTATCCTTATATTTCAAAAACTTAAAAATATAAATATTTATAATTTTAAAAATATGTAAATTATATATTTTACAAAAGCACTAAAAATCCCAATTATACAACCAACAAAAATAGATCCGAAAAAAACTCTAAGAAAATTATAAACACTTTTATAAAGAATTCCTTTTCCTGTAAAATTACTCATTTCTAATGTTGTACTTTTATAAAAGATAATAAATAAATTATAATTTATTTATAAAAAATATTTTTTTTACTTATATAATATTATAGAAACGGCATCATTTAATATAGACTCTCCATATATTATCGATATTAAATCCTTATCTATATTAGAAATTCTTAAAACATATAATATTTATGAAGGATTAGTTGCACTTATTAATGATCCAAAGGCTAAATTTTCTGACATACTAAAGCTTGATAAGCCTAGGAAAGTAGTTAATTACATAAATATAAATACTGTCATAGTGGATATAATAGTTCCTAGTATTGCATAAGTGAAGATACTTCCAATATTTTTGAAAAAATGTGACTTTTTAATGTTTATATTAATTTAAATTTTTTTATATATACCTTTTCTATATTTATTGCTTATTCGTATATCATAGGTGGCAATAAAATTATAAGAAAAAATTATGAGAATCCTTATTTAATAATGGTTATGATATCAAATATGTTAATTTAATTTAACAAAAGTCCAGAAAATATTCCTTTTTATATATTTTTTTTGAATAAAATCTTTATTTTTTTAAACAAAAAAACCTAATAATGTAGTTAAAGTTTAAGGCTATAAAAACTAAAAAAAAGTTATTTTGTTTTTCATATAATTTAATTTATGCTAAATTAATTCGTTTATTACAAGCAAGAAAAGCATAAATAATATACAGGCAGATATATCTTTTGTTTCCTTTTTTAAATATATTTGTTTTTTTTAAAAAAAACATTTATTCTCGTTTTTAAATATAATTAACTATTTCATGTTTTTACATTTTTATATTTAAGTATTCCTATTATTTAGTTATAAATAAATTTTAATATTTTTATAGAAAATATATTATATTATTATATTTATTTATATTAATTTAAAATTGATTCTAATAACATATATTTATTATATAAAATGTATTATTATTTTAAAATTAAAAATAACTTTAAAAATAATATAAATAAATATTATTAATTTTTATAAAAAATAAAACTTTTAGTTATAAATAATGGATTTAGAATTTGAAAATATATTAAACTCATTTGATAATAAACATAATAAACCACGAAGGCCTGTTTAAAATGTTTAACTTTAAGAAACTTATCCTGTACAAAGTAATTAGCGTTTAAAAGCTGATTAGACAGATGATTTTTTCGATTCAATTCTAAATGATATAAATAACAAAAAGAAAACTGTATCAAATAAAAACACTTAATAATAAAATATTTCCAAAAACAATGAAGAAACTGATTCTGTTTTTAAATTATCATAAAAAGTTAAAGATGAAATACATTTACCAACAAGAATTCGTTCATAAGTAAAAAAAAAAAAGAATTAATAAAATAAATAATAAAAAGGTTGACCTTTAAGATTAAAAGTCATAGAAAAACTCAATTCAATAAAATAAGTTAGAAAATACAGATTTTATGCCCGAAGCAAATAATCAATATTTAAAAAATTAATAAAAGTAAACTAACCGAAGCATATTAAGTGAACCAAAAAAAAGAGAAACTCATAATAATAGCATTTTTAAAGACCATCATTAAAGTAATTATAATAGTATTTTTAAAGAAAACTCATATAGTGGTGATAAGGAAGATACAAATATAGTACTATTAGAAGAAAATTTGGATAGTAAATATATAAAGTAGAGTAATAATTATATTTTGCCTATGGAGCTTAACTTTGATGCTAGTCCAATAAATAAACCTAATTAAGAAATTTAAGTTTTTAATTTTAAAAATATAGAAGAAACAAAATAAAAAATGGAAACTAATTTCAAATTATAATAGGAGATTTTATAAAAAAATTATGAAAGATAGGTTGAATTTGAAAAAGAAAGAAACTTGAAATTATTTGAATAGACTTAGGTCGTGTTAAAAAAACAGTAAGAAAGTCTTAAAGAAAATTTTTAATAAGAACTAGAAGAAGAAAAATAATAATTTGAAAAGTAAATGGAAAAAAGAAGTCTTTAGCATAAAAAAGAACTAGAAGCACTTTAAGAAGAATTAAAAAACAAAGAGAAATTATAGATTAAATGAATACTTTGTAAGGAAATAACTAGAAAGTATTAGATTTTGTAAAGAGAATTGAAACATAAAAATAAAATTTAAAGAAAGAAGAAGAAAAAGAAAAAGAAGTGGATATTTAAAGTTAAAAAAATTCATATAAAAAATAAGAAATATTAAATTAAATAAAAAAATTACAAAATGAAAAAATTCTTATTGAAAAAACTAAAGAAAATCTGGCTTTTAAGGAAATTGCTTTTTAAGAAAATGTAAAAATTGAAAAGGAAAATTTAAAAAGTGAATATAATAGAATACATGAATTATAATAAAATATGAAGTTATTTTATGAAAACAATAAAGTAGAATTGCTTAAATAAAAAACTTTTTTTGAAAATGAAAAGGAAAATTTATAAAAAGAAGCTATTTTATTAAAATGCTAATTTTATGATAAATATTAAGATTTAGAGGATAAAATATAGAAATTAGATTAAGAAAAAAATATATTTTTAGAAAAAAATTAACTCTTTTTTATAAAAAATTAGTAAAAATAAGTTTTTTTTAAATAAAAAAAGAAGAAATTTAATTTTTGTAATAATAAATAATTAATAAATAAAAAGCAGAAGAAATTTTATAAAAACTGTAAGAAGGAAATAGTGAAAAAAAATAAACTTTATAAAATGAAAAAAGAAGTGATAAATATTAATTTTAACATGATTTAATTTAAAAAGAATTCCAAATTCACGATTAATAAAAAAAATTAAGTAACTAATATAACTTATTGAAAGAAGAATAATATAAACTTTTTGGTATTTAAAATAAACTTTCTAATACAAAAAAATAAATGGATAATTAGAAAAGTTAATAAATAGTAATTTAACATTTTCCTCTTTAAAAAAATAAAGAATTAATTAAGTCTTCTTAAAATCTTTTTTATACTGGAACTTCCATTTAAAATAAACATTAGGGTTTGATATAAACTAATTTTAAAGGAATTTTTGGGAAAATTAATTAAGCAAATATTAAATTAGAAGATAATTAAAGTTATAACTTTAATCAAAAAAAGCACTTAATTAGTCTATAAAATATTTATTGATTCTTTAAATAATTAATTTGATTTTGTTTTTTTGTAATATAATAAATTTAAAAATACTATTTTATTTTTTTAATTTTTTTCAATAAATAAACTTATTATTATCCTTTATCAAATAATAAATTAATTACTTTAAAAAAATTTATTTTTTCTATAATTAATTTTTTAAAAAGCCCAAAAACAGCAATAAAAAGGCAATTTTTTTCAGCCTTGTTTTTTAATTTCCAATTGATTTTTTTTTACAGAAAAAAAAAATTGAATAAGTAATATAAAAAAGAAATTTAGTTTATATTCAGTTAAATTTCAAATAAATTAAATTCTCTTTAATTTAAATATAAAGTATACAAGGATTTTCTAATAAATATATAAATATTAAATGGTTTAAAATAAATGTTTCAATATAGAAAAAAAAAATACTAAATAATAAAAATAAATTTATTCATTTTTTTAAAAAGAATTAAAGGTATAATAATTTATTTCAAAAGTAAAATAATGGTTAAAAATAATCGAATTATGTAATAAAAAGTAATATATAAATAGATAAAGTAAAAATATGTAAATAAGAAAACTAATGAAAATTTTTCTTCCTAAAATAATATTGGATTAATTTTTGAATAACAATAATAAAAAATATATTTTTTAGGTAAAAATAATAAATAAAAAAATCAATAAAAAAAAGATTAAAAAATACTAAGACGAAAAAATTAAAAAGTTAAGGTAAACCGTCAAGCATTTAATAAACTTTGGTCATTTTAATTTATAATAATTCTAATTAAAATGAAGAAACAATTACATAAATAATAAATAAAAGAATATCAATGAAGTTATTTGAAATGAATGATGTTTTTTATAGTCTTATAAAAAAATAAAGCTACAAGCGAATTTTAGTGCGAGTTTTTCCCCTTACAATCTTTTAAAAGTTAATTTAATTAAGAATATATAATTAATAGTAAAAGTAAAAACATTAAAAATAAATTTTAATTTGAATAATAAAATAGCAATAATAAATAATAAAATATAAATAAATGAAAAAAAAGAAAATGTAATATGTATTTCAAATAAAATGTATTATGTAAAAATATGGATTAATATAATATGAAAATATATATAAAACCTATAAATAAAAATAGTATTTTATATTTTAATTAAATATTTCTAAAATATATTAACTAGATATTACTTTCTATATATAATTAAATAATATAAAAATAAAATAATTATTTTTTTTCATTTAAAAATTTAAGCATTAAAAAAAGAATTTTTACTTTTTACATAATATACATTTTGTAAATTTAATGGAAAATATAAATCAATTAATTTATAAATTAAAAATTAAAAAAATTAAAATAAAAAAGAAAATTAAAATAAAATAAAAAAGTTAATTATTTATTATCTACACTATACTATATAGAACATAAATAATAATTAAAAGTAAAAAATAAGACAATAATTATTTCTAAAGTTTTTACATTTAATTCACTAATACACACTTATTACACAATTAAAGTTTTATATGATATAATTATATTAAATAATAATAACAAAATTTATTTTTTAAAAATTTATAGATAAACTACATACTTAATATATTAATTATATTATAAGTATTGTAGGTTACTTTAGAACTTTATAAAACAATAAAAAAAATATTAACTATTATAGAAATTATTAAATTACTATTAATATATTTATGCTTTTTTATTTAAATTAAATATAAAGTGCCAAATATTTTGATTTTTTTTTAATACTTTATTTATACTTATATATGATATTTATAGACTTATTTATTCTAAATGTTTATCTCAAACTATATTTTAAATTTAAAAATATAAAATAAATTTTAATTATGTTATCATTTTGAGGTTTTACAGGTTTATAATTTAGTTTAAAGTAAAAATTAATTTATTATATAAATTATATATAATTTTTTTTTATCATAATCTAATAATAGAGATTTTATTTTTACAAATATAATTTATTTCTTGAAATAAATATTTCATAAAATAATAATATAAACTTTTAGTTGCATTTGATCTAAACTTTTTATTTTATATTAACTTTAATTGCAAGAAAATAAAAAAATTGTTTTCTTAATAAAAAAATAATTATAAAAAAATCTAATGTAAATTTATATTAATAAAAACAACATATTTTATTATTTTATAAGGAGAAAATTAACAAAGAATAAAAATATCTAAAATAAAATCAAAAGAAAATAATAAAAATAAAAAGAAGCAAAATACAAAAAAATACAAATTAAAAATATAATTAAAGAAAAAAAAAAAAAAAAAAAAAAATAAAATGGGAAAAAACTATAAGAATTGTAGAAAAAAAAAATAATATAAAAAAATATGATTTAATTAAATAAAAAAAATAAAAAAAGGTTCAAAGAGTTACTCAACACCAAGAAGACCTTACGAAAAGGAAAGAATTGATAATGAGTAAAAATAAAAATTATAAATAAAATAAAAAAAATTATAAAACAAAAGATTAAAAGTCGTAGGTACATTCGGTTTAAAAAACAAAAGAGAAGTGTGGAGAGTATAAATGGTATTAGCTAAATTCAGAAAAGCAGCAAGAGAATTATTGACTTTAGAACCAAAGGATCCCCGTAGACTTTTCGAAGGTTCTGCCTTATTAAGAAGAATGATTAAATATGGTTTACTTTCTGAAAACGAAAAAAAGTTGGATTATGTTTTGGGTTTAACATTACACAAATTAATGGAAAGAAGACTTTAAACTATTATTTTTAGAAAAAGTTTGGCACGTTCCATCCATCATGCCCGTGTTATGATTAGATAAAGACACATTAGGTTAGTTATTTATATAATATTTTAATTTATTTTATTTTTTTAAAGAGTCGGAAAAAATCTTGTAAATGTACCCTCATTTATGGTTAGAACTGACTCTGAAAAGCTTATCAGTTTTACTTCTACTTCTCCTTTCGGAGGTGGTCGTGAAGGAAGAACTAAAAGAAAAGCTTTGAAAAAGAAAAAAGATTGAGAAATGGAATTTTCAGAAAAAATATATTTATTTGTTTTTTTAAATAAATAATTAATTTAATGTTTTTAAAAAAATATATTTTTTATTTATTTTCATGTTTTTAAAGTATAAAATTTTTTATTTAAACTTTATAAATAATTTTATTTATCCCTTTAATTTATAATATATATATTTACATATTAAATTATAAATATTAATTTTCATTTTACATATTTTTTACCATTATATTAGCTAGAATATTATTATTATTTTTTACTAAATATTTTTTTTTAATAAAAATTTTGAATTAAAAAAAATATAATTATGATTTGTTCCAAACATTAAAATTAATAACTTTAAAGTTTTTGCTTTTAAAATGACTGTATGGAAGATAAAGAGTTACTTTGTAATTTATGTATTCGTGAAAAGCATATGACCCATATAATTCTACCTTTTTTAGAATTCGAATAATATATTTCTAAAGAATAAGATAGCCTAAGGTTTTAATTAGAAATGAAAAAACAACTAATTAAATTAGAAGTAAAAATAAAAAATATTAGAAAATAATCCAAATAATTAATAATATATTCTCATTAAATTTATTTATATATATTTATATTTAAAAAATATAATAAAAAAAGGATAATGTTTAGGTTACAAAAAACCAAATTTCTGTATTTAAATAACAAGTAAATGAAAATTTAGAAAATCTAAATAAATAATTAGATTCTTTACATTCTATAATAAAAAGTGATTTCGAAAAATAATATTAAGATATAGAGAATGGAATTACTAAATTTTTACATAAAAAATAGTAATTAAAATAGTTTTTAGACAAGAATAAAATTGTTTTAGATGAAAAATATTAAATAAAATAAATTATATTTACTTAGTATGAAGAATTGTAAGAAAAATTCAATAATATCTAAAACAATCTAAATAAATACTTGTAAGATATTAATGAATAATTGAAACAATAAATTCTTTAAAAAATTGTCCATTTAGAACCGAAATAATACTCTTAAGAATTTAATAATCTGCTACTTTTAAGTAAATAAAAAACACATAATTATTTTAATGTATAATCTGGTGTTATACCTAAAAGTTAAAACAATAAAAAAATACGATTATAACCTTAAAGCTTTGATTAAATAATGTAAGATTTAAGAATGATTTCTTAATAATAAGATTATGTAAATCTGTGGATTGATTTGCCTAATAAAATAAGCAAAAGTTAAATTCAAGATATTTGTATCTTTATTAATAAAAATTTTGTTTTGAAAAAAACAATTTTTACTTTTCCAAAGTAAATTTTTTAGCTTTAGTTTATAAAATACTTAAATCAATTTTATTTTTTTATTAGGTTAAAAGAATCTATTGATGATCATTTAGTCTATATTTTCAAAAATTTAAATGATATGGATTAATTATAAATTTTTGGATTAAAAATTAAGCATTCCATAGTTTTTAAAGAAGAAACTTGGAAATTATTTTGTAATTTTATACTGAACTTGTCAAATAAACAATTGGAATATTGCCATCTTTTTTTAAATGAAAATCAAAATAGAGTTTTATAAATTGCAATAAATAATGAATCTAAATATTTATGTTTAAAAAATATTATCTAATATAATTGAGATATATATGATTAATTTACTATAATAATAAAAAATAATTTTACCGAGTTTAAACAAAGATCCAACTGTGATTATTTTATTTATTATTTTCTTATTTTTAAAAATATTTTTTAAAAAAATTATTTGATTTTATTAAAAAAGGATTCTATATTAAATTCTTATAAAAATGAAGTAAAATTTTTTATATTTATAATATTATTTTAAATTTATAAATAATATATAAAACATGTAAAAATCATTATTTTTTAAAAAAAATTATAAATAGCTTAAAAATATATAATCTTATGTCTTTTATATATAAAATATGTTTTAATAAATAAAATAAAAAAATGATATATGCATTCATAATTATTTTCATGGCTAGTCTTTTTAGTCGTTTTTTGCCTAAACAACAATCAAAATGAAATCTTTATCAGGTGCGACCATAATTTCGTTATTTTTTGATTTTATTCTTAGAAATACAAGATCATTATTTTCATCCAAATCACGAACAGTTGAACGTGCTTTTGCAGCTAATTATGGAATATTAATTGCAATTTTTTCTCCTAAAGCCTTTTAATCACCTTAATAAGTGCTTCTAATTATGCTTCCTTCACTATTAACAATAACTATTCCTTAAACTGATTTATGTGTATTTATTCTTTATAGTGTTTCTTCAACTTCACTCATTATTTTTTGATTAATATATATATTTTTTTTTCTTTTTAATTTTAAAAATAAAATAACTTTTTATTGAAAATAAATTATGTAAAATATTTATAAATAAATATATTATGCGAATAAAAAAAATATATATTAAATATTTTTATAAAATAAAAAAATATTATGAATATAAATTAAATTAATAAAAATTAAAATTTAGAATCCTAAATAATTCAACCATGTAGTCGTTTTCAAAAATCAGTTGGAATAACTAAAAATGACCAAAAAAAGGCTATTTGTTACTTATAATTGCGCTCTAATGGAAGCTCTAGAAAAGATGCACTTAACTTTACTTCTAAAAATGTTTGTAAATCAGATAATACAAGAATTATTGATGGTCCCCCTTAATGCAGAAGTTTAAGAATAAATTAAAAAGCTTTTCACAGTTAAGTAAATGGTTGGATATAAGGATGTCCTGAATATGATATGGGAAAAACGTTTAATGCAAGTGTAAAAGAAGTAATTGATATAGACTAGTCAGATGAGATTTTAAAAAAATAACTTTTATTTCATGAAAGTAATATAAAAAAAGATTTTTTAACAATGATAAATGTAATGAAAAAGTATTTCGATGGGATAGATAAGATTTATAGTATTAAAAAAGGAGAAATTTTGAAAGATTATATAAATAAATGTCAAACGAGGTTAGAAAATAAAACTTATTTTAAGCATAATAATTTTAAATATTATTATTTGGCGAAAAAAGTGGAAGAAATAAGGAATTAATATAAGAAAAATACAAAAGTATAAGAAGGACTAATCGAAAAATATAACATATTTAATAACATTGAATAATAAGAAGAAATAAAAGCTGTAAAATTGTAAAAAGAAGAGATTAATTTTTAAAAAGTAAAAAAGAAGATTTAAAAAGTAGATGAAAAAGATTTTAATAAAATAAATATAAATTTAAAAACTTAAATTTTCGAAGAAGTTGCAAATTAAATATAAGTTCTTGAAGATATGGAAACACCTAAAATTATTAAAGCAGAAAATAAAACTGAAAAATTATAACTTTATTAATAATCGCTTTTGGCAAATTAAAGGCTAAATTATATTTCTTATGCTAATTAAAAATTAGTTGAAAGACAATTTAACTAAGCATAATATTTCTTTAAAAATAATGATTATTAATTACAAAATAATAATGCTAATAAAAAAATTAATAATTTTAATTATAATTCGCCTTATAATAATAAATAAAAAATACTATTTGAAGATAAAAAACTTTTTGAGTAATATACATCTAATTTTTCAAATTATATAAATAATAATTCTAATTTAAATACAACTAATAGCAAAATGTCGTCATCAAAAATTTAAGTATAAAACGATAATATTAAAAATCTTATTTCTTATAAAGATAAACTTTTGTAATAATTTTAAAAAAGAAATTTTAGTTTTGGTGAATATTAAAGAAATAAAACTAAAAGTACTTATACAATTAAAAAACTTAATAAAAATTAAGATATCAAGTTTAATTAGACGGGAGCATTTTCAGAATACAATTCAACTCAAAATATTAGTAATAAATAAAAAATTAAATGATTTTTTCTATTATATAAAGTTTATTTTTATTAGATATATCTTTTAATTACAAACACAATAATTATTTTTATATTATTATTTTGATTTTATTTAAATTTATTTTTTATTTTATTTTAAATATTTTTTTTAATTTTATTTATTATTTAATTTTAATTAAATTAATATTTTATAAATATAAATAAAATACTATTTTATCTATATTATTTATTTATTTATATATATAAAATTATAATTTTTTCAGAAAAATAAGAAAAAATATAATGTAAAAATTATATATAAATATATTAATATATATATATATATATATATTACATAAATATTTTAAATAAAAATTAATTATAAAAATTTATATAAATAAGCAATTTTAATATTAATAAAAAAAACTTATATTTAAAAAAATTAATATACACAATACAATATATTTAAAAAATAAAAACTTATTTGAAAAAGCAGTAAAAATCGAATGTCCAAAATATTCAAACGAAATAGTTAAATAAATTAAAATTTCGGTTTTAATTTTTAATATGCCAATAACAACTTAAAAAGTAAAGATAATTTACCAAAAACGACAAATCGAAAAATAACTTCAAATAGACCTGATAAAAATATTAAAAATAATAGTATTTCTACAAGCAAATACACATACTTTAATTTTTTACCAAAAAATATATATTTTTAGTTTACGAAAATTGCAAACTTATATTTTTTAGTAAACAAATAAAAAATAAAATAAATATAATAATAATTAAAACAATTTATATTTTATAAAAATAAAAAATAGATAAGTGGATTTCTATAAATGGTTCCTTAGATATCAACATCTGATGGAGTTCCTACAATATTTTTGCCTTTATTTGTGATAATAATAGTTACTGCATTTAAAGATTTTTATGAAGACTATAAAAGACATGCATCAGATAATGAAGAAAATAATGTAAAATAATTATATAGTAGATAAAATATAAAATAAATAAAAGAGGGAATCACTAAATTTTGATATTAGTTAAAATTTATTCCGTAAATGTTATTGGAAAAATTTGTATATAGGAAATATAGTAAAAATATAAGACAATGAATTGTTTCCTGCAGATTTATTAATATTGAGTACATCAGAACCTAAAGGAATGTGTTATATAGAAACGAAATCGCTAGACGGAGAAACTAATTTGAAATAAAGAAATGCATAAAAAACTTTATATAATTATTATGGAAATTAAATTAATTAAATTAACTTAGCAGAAATATAATAAATAGTATTTCAATATGAATTGCCAAATTAAAGTTTATACAAGTTTTAAGGAACTGTGGAATTTGCAGATGGCAATACAGTATCTATTGATAATAATAATATTCTTTTAAGAGGCTGTAAATTAAAAAATACATAATGGGTTTTGGGCTTAGTTGCTTATACAGGCCATGAGACAAAAATTATGATGAATTCTTTTAGTTCTAGATCAAAGAAAAGCTAATTGGAAATTATGATGGGGAGATAAATTATTGTTATTTTTTTAGTTTAAATTGTTATATGCATTTTCTGTGGATTGTATTATATGATTTGGTATAATGAAAATTCTGGTGATTTGGATTATTTGTATATTATTAAAAATAGTGTTGAAGAAAATGCTAATTATTACAATTTTTTAGTTCGATTTGGAAATTGGATTCTTCTTTTTAACAATTTCGTTCCCATATGTTTTTTTATTATTATTATTATTATATTTATCATTAAGAATATTATTCATATTTTTTCTCTTATTTTTTCTTCTTCTAAAATTAATTTTTGATTTAAAAATAAAAAAAATGCTTTGTTTTTAAAATTTTTACTTATTTTCTTAAAAATCAAATATTAGTTTTTCTCAATTGAAAAAAATGAGACTAAATAAAGCTGAATAATATTTTTAAAACAATAAAAACATACTTTAAAATTTTTATTACTAAATTTATTTTTTATTTTTTTAAATATAATTTAGCTTTACTTGTGACATTAGAATTGGTAAAATTCGCATAAGCTTATATTATAGCAAACGATGAAAATATGGCTTTTTATTAATATGATGAGAAGGGTAAATTAAATAGAACACCTACCACAGTTTAAAGTTCAAATTTAAATGAAGAATTAGGTTAAATAGAGTATGTTTTTTCAGATAAAACAGGAACTTTAACATGTAACATAATGGAATTCAAAAAAATATCAATAAATGGCGTATCATATGGTTTGATAATTTAAAATCTATTATAAATAAATTATATATAAATAAAAAAAAATAGGTGAAGTAAAATAAGGCGATGTAAATTATATTTAAAACATAAGCTAATTTCCAAAAGTAACGAATGTAGATTTCCGTGATAAAATTTTTATTAATATACTAAACGATAAAAATCATAAAGACCATAAATACATAAAGTTTATAAAAAAAAAAAATTTATTAAAAAATAAATAAAAAATATAGAAAAACAATAGAATTTCTAGCACTGACCCATACAGTAATAACAGAATAAAAAACAGAAAATGGATAATTATAATACACATATAATGTAACAAAAAAAAATAACAAAAGACATATAAAAAAAGGCATCATCTCCTGATGAACTTGCTCTAGTAAATTTTGCAAGGTATTGTGGAGCTGAATATCGAGGTCTAGATCTAGAAAACAATATGCTCTATAATTATAAAGGTATAGATAAACAAGTATTATAGCTTCATGTCTTTGAATTTGATTCAGATAGAAAACGTTAATCAATAGTAATAAAAGAACTGGATACAGGTAAAATAAAGTTATTTTGTAAAGGTGCAGATTCAGTATTATTTAAATTAATGGATGAGAAAAACTCAATAGAAGTAGATAAAACTAAATAGAATTTGGATGATTATGGAAATATAGGATTAAGGACACTTCTATTATGTGAAAGGGAAATTTCTTAATAAGAATATGATGTCTGGCTAAAAAAATACCATAAAGCATGTACTACACTAACAAACAGAGAATTAGAAATGTCAATGGTATAAGCCGAGTTAGAATAAAATTTAATTTTGGTAGGTGCAACAGCAATAGAAGATAAATTATAAGATTAAGTAGGAGAAACAATATTTGCTTTAAAAGAGAGTGGTATTAAAGTCTGGGTATTAACAGGTGATAAAGTAGAAACAGCAATAAATATAGGTTTTTCATGTAAATTAATAACATAAGATTTGTGCTAATACATAGTTAAATTAAACAAAGAAGTAAAAAAAGGAGAAGAGCAAGAGGCTGAAAAAGAAATGAAGAAACGATTAAGTGATATTTTAAAGGAAATATAATAAAAAAATAATTAAAAAAATGAAATAAGTCAAAATAATGTATTTATAATAGCAGGAGATGCTTTAACTTATTGTTTTTCTCTTGAAGTTAGGGAGTTATTAATTTAAATAACTAATAATTGCACTTCTGTCCTTTGTTGTAGAGTCACTCCTACATAAAAATAACAAATCGTCACTATGGTTAGAAATAGTAAAGCTGGAGTTTGTACTTTGGCTATTGGAGATGGGGCTAATGATGTTAATATGATAAATGCAGCTCATGTTGGAATCGGAATTAAAGGCTTGGAAGGATAATAGGTTTTTTTTTTATTTAATTTTTTTATATTAAAGGTAAAAAAATAGGCTGCAAGGGCTAGTGATTATTCTATAGGAGAATTTAAAATTTTAAGGAATTTACTTTTTTATTATGGAAGGGAAGCTTATAGAAGAAACACAAGACTTATTTGTTTTAATTTCTTTAAAAATATTGTGCTTGTTGTACCTTAGTTTTGGTATTCATTTAATAATTCGTTTTCTGGATAAATTCTTTATGATAATTTTGTTTATTAGCTATTTAATGTTTTATTTGCTTCTTTACCTATAATGATTTATGCAGTATGTTTTATTTTTTTATAAAAATAGTCTATATAATATTTTTTTTTTAGATTTTAGATGAAGAATATGATTATAAAACTTTAATTAAAAATTAAAAAAATTATTATAAATAAGGAATTGATCGTAATTAATAATTTATAATAAATAAAATATTGAAATATATATATTTTTTTCAATATTAAAAAATTATATTATATTTTAAATCAATAGATGTTTTATTTAATTCTAAAATTTTTTGGGGATGGTTTTTTAATGCTTTACTTCAATCACTTATACTAGCTTATTTTAGGTAACTATTATAAAAAAAGAATAATTATAATTTTTAATATTTTTGTTATTTATTTTTCTAAATATATAAATCATTTATTTATAAAATATTTATTATGCCTTTTAGTTATTATTCACTTGAAATGAATTTTGTTGAAAACTCAGGTTATGTTATGGATTTTTGGTAAAGTGGTTAAATGGTTTTTGGGCTTGCAGTTGTAAATGCTAATATGAAAGTACTCATTATATCTTTTGAACATAGTATAGGAAGCATATTTATAAATTTTTTTTCTATGATATTATATTTATGTACAATAGTAATTCTTTCGTTTTATATAGAAAGTTCTTCTATTTATTACCTATTTAGAGGGTTAATTTAAATATATTTTTATATAATAAATAAATACTTATATTATTTAAAATTATATAAAAGATTATTTAAAACAGCTAATTTCCATATAGGAAATGCTTTAGCTATTGCTGCTACTTCTTTATTCGATTTAGCATTATTATTATTCTTAAGTAATGTTTACTTATTTTTTAAATATTTAAATAAAATTTAAAATAGGATTTAAGAAAAATTAGGAATAAGATGATACTAAATAAGTTAAATATGATAAAATTAATGCTTGAAATGTAAACAAAATAAAAATAGTTTGAGTAATAAAATTTTATCATTGAAACTTAAATATAAATTTTATAAGAAAAATATATATTACAATTATATGATTAATATTTTTATTATTTATTTTTGATATTATATGTTACTATAGTATATTAATTTTTTTTAATGAAATTAAAATAATATATAAATTTAATAATAAAAAGTTATAATACAAAATTAAAAAAAATAATGACAAATCAATGAAATCACAATTTAATATAATTAATTATTTATTACATAATAAAATAAAATAAATATATAAATATTTATATTTATATTTTAACATATCATAAACAAATATATAAAATAATTAATAAAAGTTTAATTATCATTAATAATATATATAAATAAATAATTAATAATAAAATTTTTTATAATAAAATTAATATATTATAATATTACTATTTACTATTTAGTATTTAATTTAAATTTAGTCTAATAATTTATATATATTCAAATTTTTTATTCTAAATCATAATTTTTTTTAAGGAGAAACAGAACTAACTCTATCTAATGCACTTTAATATTATCCTTACAATATAATTAGTTTTTAAATCTATAATTCACTAATTTATTCTTAACCTTGCTAAGAATAAAAACTATCATTGTTTATTTTTTAAGGTTATTATTATCCTAAAGTATTATGCATATATTATTATTATTAAGATTATTATGGGAGTTATTAGTTTTGTAAACTATAAGGTTATTAAATTTAATATCCAGGTACATATGATTGTTAATATTATGATGTAAGTTATTATTATTAAACTATTTAGGGATTTTATTTTTATTGTTAAGATTAAGATGTCTATTATAGTTATTATTAATAAGGAGGAATTTGTTATTATAATTAATAAGATTATTATTGCAATTACTAAGGATATAGCAATTATTATTATTAGTTTTATGTAGCATACTCCTAATGTGGAGGCGTATGCGATGATTTTTGTTATTGTTAAGCAGGAGGTGGAGTATATTATTATCCTTATTAATATTAAAGTTATTATTAAACATATTATTATTATTATTATTATTATTATTATTATTATTATTATTATTATATTTACAGTTATTATTTATATTGCAATTATTATTGTTAATTTTATTTTTTTTCATATTATTGTGAATATTATTATTATTAATATTATTAAAATGAAGAAATTAAATTTTCTTATTAATCTTTATCTTGACCTTTTATTTGATTGAGTTTTTAGAAAACACTATCCATTAAAGATATTTCATCACTATCTTTTTGATGTGAAATATTTTATTATTCATCTTATTGAATAATTAGATTTTTAACGCTCTAGAATCCAGAATCTTAATCTTCGAAGTTGTTTTTAATATTATGAATGATTTGGTTAAAATTTATAGATTTTTCAGTAAGTTAATTTTATAAATCTTTTAGAACTTGCTTTTTGTACATATCAAATTATTATTTAAGTCCATTAACTTCTTTTTTAAGATTTTTATATTTTAGTTTCCACATTTCAATTTCTTAAATTTAGGTTTTAACGACATTATTTTGGTCCTATAGTTCTTTTTATAAATACATCTCTTAATTCGATTTTTTAACCAATTCTTCTTTTAAGCTAATATATTATTTTCTTAATTCATCCTTTTCTTTTATTATATCTTCACTGAGTTTTTACATATTCTCGTTTACTGAAATCAATTCTCTAATTTCGTTTTATTTTTCATCTTCTATTTATTATAATTCTCCGTCATAAGCTTGACATTATTTAGTTAATGCAATATTGATTTATGCTATATTTTCTTTTTCTAATTATAATTAAATAATTGATTTTTTATAGTTTTAGTGTAATTCCTCTATTTATTATATTTTAAATTCTATTTTTTCTTAAAATTCTTCTTGCTTTTATTTCAAACATACTTTCAAAGGAATTATTTATTAATTTTCCTCTTTTAAATTTTGAATTGCATTTTCTTATTATTTTATCCTCTATTCTAATTCTTTGCATTCTTATTATTTATCTGCTAAAATATTCTTTAATTAAACAACCTTTGATAACATATCACCTGCTTGAAAATTTGTATTCATTATTGATTTTCTTATTGAATTATTTATGCTTTTTATTTCTTAACTTACTCCTAATTTTTATAATTAGCTCTAATTAGAACCTTAAATACTTTAATCATTTGATGTTTATTTGGTTTCCTAAAATAGTGTTTTATTTAATATATTTTATATATTTACTTATTAATTTTATAATTATTTTTATTATTAGTTTTATTCTGGTTATTGCAATTAAGTTTATTATTATTAATTTTAAGGTTATTATTAATTTTAAGTATCAATTTATTTTTAATTTTTATATTTTTTAATTTTATCTTCTTATTCTTATTAATCATAATCTTCAGGAAGCTTTGTTTTAACTTGAGATTCTTACATTTTTGGTCTTAGTTTTTTTACTTATCTTTTTTTTAATACCCTTATAGTATGCGAAGAAATACTTTGTTAATGGCTTTTTATTGGAATACTTTCTTAATCTTATACTTATGAAGTTTTTTGCATATTTATTGAGTTTTGGATATTATTTTCTAATTAATTATTTTTTTATGCATTTTTTTCATTTAAATAATGAGGTTATTAAATAATTTTAATGTTTTTTTCTAAATTTTATATAGTTTGTTCAAGATTTATAAAACTTTTATTATTATTATTAATAATTTAATCGTCTTTTTGTAAAACTTAATATTGATTTTTATAATTAAAAATATTTATTTCTTATTGACTTTTAATAGATGTTAATAGTTTAGTCTTATTTTAATTTTAATCTTATTAATTTATTTATTAAATAAAATTATTAAAAGGTAGAATTTAATTTTAATTGTAACTTTAACTAATGAAAATAGGTTGATGTTTTTATTATAATAAACTAGTTTATAAAGAACGAGAAAATGTTTATAATTATTACTATTATTATTATTATTATTATTACTCTTATTAATCTTATTAATCTTATTACTATTATTACTATTATTACTATTATTACTATTATTACTTTTATTACTATTATTACAATAATTATTATTATTACTATTATTACTATTATTACTATTATTATTATTATTATTATTATTATTATTATTTTTGCTTTATTTTTTATATATGTTATTAATAATTTTATTATTATAATTAATACTATTACTATTATTGTTTTATTTATAATTATTACTATTAATATTTTTAATTTTAATTATATAATATTTCATTTTGATTATCTTGTTTTTTTATCTCATATTATTTTTCAAGTTATTTATTTACGTTAGTTTCATTATTTAAATCATAATTTATTAAATTATTTTTTATTATTATATTTAAATTTACTATGGTTCATTTTTTAAATTTTAATACTATTATTTTTATATAGAACTTTATTTAACATTTAAATTTTGTTGACTATTATTTTTATTTTTATCATATTATTAATTAAAAAGTATATTAATACTTTAATCTTAATTTTAAGACTAATTATGATTATATTATTAATTTTTATTATTATTATTATTATTATTATTATTATTATTATTATTATTATTATTATTATTAATATCTCCGCTTTAAGATTATGAAATTATTTTTTTTGATTTTACAAATATTTTTTATTATTATTATAAAGAATTATAATTACTTTCTTTTTATTTTTATTGAGACATATCTTTATTTTATTATTATTTCTATGATTTATCAACAAATATAATTTTATCATCATCTTATTATTAGATTTATTATTAAGATGAAAAGTTACTTCTTTTTTCTAAATATGAGTTTATTTGATCTTATATATTTTCTTCATTTTCATCTACATCTTCATCTTCATTTTTATCATCATGCTCATTTATATCTTTGTTTTTAATTTCATATTAATCTGCATCTTTATTTTTATCTTCTTCTTTTTTTTTTTAATTTTTTTTTGTGTTATATCATTATCGTTTTTTTATTTTTATTATGTTGTCTATTGTTAGATTTCCTAATATGGCTCGCTTATTATTGATTAAAATGATTATTCTTATTTTGTTTGAGATAGAATTTAATTCTGAGATGTTTATATTTAATTTTCTTAGACTTTTTATTTATATTAATCTATTTGTAATTATAAATCTTCTTCTTCCTCATCATAATTGTCCTATAATTAATCTTGAAATTCATCTTTATAAATTGCCTTTATATTTGGCTACTTTAATTCAGAATATAATTATTTTTTATTTGAAAATGCTAATTATTCTATTTCCTCTTATATTTATTAACTTTAATCAAAATAAACATCTTCATATTCGGAATATTCTTCATCTGAATAGTATTCTTCCATTTCTATGTTATTATCAATTTATGCTTCTTATTATTAAGATTTGCTAATATCTTATTGTTTTTATTATTAGAATTTTTTTAAATCCTAAGATTTTATAATGTCTTTTTATATATTTTGATTATTATTTAAATCTTCTTCTTGTAATTAAAATTATTTAAATGATTTTTGTAAAGGTTACTAAAGAGTTTTTTATAATGGTTATTATGAAAATTAATAATTTTAAGATTATTCGTTTTTATATTATTATTATGATTATTATTAAGATTATTATTATAATTATTATTAGGATAATTATTATATTTATTTTTATGATTATAATTGTAATTAATCTTATAATTATGATTATTATGATTATTATTATTATGATTATGATTATTATTATTATGATTATTATGATTATTATTATTATTATTATTATTATTATTATTATTATTATTATTATTATTATTATTACTCAATTTATTCAATTGATTACTATTATATTGATTAAATTGATTAAATTTTTTAAATAGTATTTTAATTACTTTTTTCCGATTTATTTTTTAAAGTACTTTTAAGAGAGTTGCTTATTCCATCACTTATTTCATTATCAATTTAATCAATATTATTTTCAACGACTCCTAGTAATTTTTTAATATCAATAAGCTCATCTTCTTATTATTAATTAAATAATTGTAATTATTCAATATTTTCTAATTATTACATTAAAGTTTGTTGCTTATCTTCTAAATTTTTGTTTAAATTTGCATTTTCTTTTTATAGTTAAATTATTTAATCTGACAAAGTCTTCATTTGGACTGCATAATCTGAACATTTTAATTCTAATGTCTTTATTTGGAATTTATTTAAATTTAATCTTGTATTTACATCATTTACTACAGAATAAAGTTTTTCTATTTCCATTTATGCCTATTCCATTTTATATTAATTCTATAAATTATTAATTTTTTCATTTTCAATTTACTCTTCATAAGTTAAAGCTAATTATTAGTACTTATCTCTCCATTCTATGAGCTCTTCTTATACATTTGCAAAAGCTTTTATTGTATGCTCAAATTCGTTTCCTAATATTGCTACTGAATCTAAAGCTTTATTATAAATTACCATATTTTCTTATAAGATTGGTGATGTTTTTATCCCTTATTGCTACTACTTTTATGTTGAAAGACCAGATGGAGTTTATGAACGTAACTTGCTATTATTTATTGTATGTATTGTTGTTTTATTAGAATTATTTTATTAATTACTATTATTTTATTATTATATATTAATATTTTAAGGATTCTTTCGAGGAGGTGTATAAGGTAATTAGATGTATTCTTCCTTTTATTGAGCTTAATGTTCTTTTTAATAACCGAATTAAGGAAGCTGAGATTACTATTCGTCAGACATATTTTTATTTTATTATTAATTTTAATAAAATTATATTTTATTTTTTTTAATTTTTATTATTTGATTGTTTAATTTTATTGAATTTTTTTTTTTTTTTAATATTCTTTAATTTAATGTATTTTTTTAATGATAAATTTATTTATAATAGATATAATTAAAGTTATTAGCAATATATAAAACATAGTTATCTTCTATTAATAACGTTTTTTTTTTTTTATAAATTTTATTTTTATTATAATAAATGAAGTATAAATTATATAAATTTAAAACTTTTGATAAATATAAAAAAAAAAATATTTTAATTAAATATAATATTTAATTATATATAAGTATTTTATTATAATATTAAAATAGTTATTTTAATTAAAAATAATTTTAATTTTACTATTTTTAATATATAATATATTTTTATTTAAATTATTTAATTAAATATTTAATTTTATTATGAATTAATATTAATCATTTAACTCTTTCCATTTTTACATACCAACCTTTTAAGGGATAATAAACTTTAAGGGTATTATCTTTATCCAGTTGAGCATTGTAATCATTATCATTTCTTTAACAAAATATAATTTCATTTTTAATGTAATATTGATATATTTTTTTTTCAGTATGATTAATATAAAAACCATTGCAAAACTATATTATATTATTATTCCAAGATCCTTGAGATATATATTTCCATACTTTTTCACAGATAAAATTTTTTAAATTATTATCAGATTAAATTTTATGATCACTATTTTATTAAGTTCTTAACTTTATATAAATAAAGATTAAACAAAAGATAATATTAAATATAGAATTTTACTTTTTCTATTTATTAACTTTAAATATTAATTTTTTCTTCTAATTTTTCTATTTCTTATTTGTGACTTTCTCAAAATTTATTAAGTTTAATTTCTAATAATTAATACATTTACAAGATATTTAAGTATTAATCTTGTTTTTCTTAAGTTTCTTCATCTTTATTCATGAAATCAAGTTTATTATTGTATTTAATGTTTTCTTTTAAAATATTTATAAATTTTTAAATCAAATTAAAAGATATGTTATTATAATAATTTTTAAAATAAAAAATTATATGCAAATCAAATAAAATAATTTAAATAATTTCTTTTAATAATTTAATATTTTGTAATATTTTAATATTAGTTAAATTTATATATTGAATGTTTGATAATAATAAAGGATTAATATTTCTAAATATTTAATATTTAATTTTATTGATATTATTTTTTTCATTAATTTTTTATTTTAAATTGATTTAATTATAAATTTTATAAATAAAAAAAGATATATATGATATATTTTTTTTATTTTAAACTAAATTTATAAATAAAAAAAGGAATTGACTCGTTTATTTCACACTTTTTTTATTTTTTGATTGAATTATAAAAATACAGAAAAATTAAAAAATATAAAAGCCAATAATATGTTAATAAAGTATATTTAAAGTAAATTAAATATTTTTTTTTAACATATTTATCGAAAAAACAAAAATTAATATTTTAAATTGAACCATCTAACTTTTTTTTTTGAATATAATTGACCAAATTTAAGAAAAAAAAAAATTATAAAAAATCTTTAATAAAGCAGAAATTAGATTTAATTATAATAAATTAATAGAAATTTAAAACTATATATTTTAAAATAATATAATTAGATAAAATTCTTTTTTAATAAATATAATTAAAAACCCTAACTTAATTTTATTATTTATCTGTGTTTTTTCAATATTTCAATTAATTCTATTATTTATAAGGGACAAAGGCAAAAATATCACTCTAATAATATATTACATGTTAAAAGTATTTCTTTTCTAAGTATTATTAAATTTCCAATTCAGAACCTTCAATTAATTCAGTCTAATATACTACTGCTTTTACATAGATTATATTATAAAATCTTTTTGATAAATAATTTTCATTAAATATAGTTTATTCTTTGTAAAAAAATTAAAATTTTATAGACTATATCATAAATAAGCTAAATTAAAATTCTCAGGATTTTAATGGTATTTCTCAAAAAAGGTATATATTTTATCAATTAAACAAATTATTAGCTGTACATATAATATCTATTTTTTTAATTTTAAATAGGTATTTTAATAATTTCTTTGATCTTTTTAAATTTTAAATTTTTAATTATTAATAAATTGAAAAACGGATTTTTCGATAAATTACATTTAGCGTATTATCTTATTAATGCATTTTTAATTTATTTGTGTATATGACTATAGATTTTTTTTACTTTTAAAATGCCTTTATAATTATATAAAATTAAATTTATATTTCATTAATTTTTATATAAAACATAAATATAAATGATAATTTTTTAATTTATTTAAAATTTTCATTTATAAATACAAAATTACTGAATTTTTAAAATATATTAAAAAAGTAATACTATTTAAAAAAAAAATACAATATAATTAAATAATTCATATTTATTTTTCATTATATTGTTATTAATATGTATTTATAAAATAATAAATATATTATAATATTAATAAATATAATATAAAATTATTCAATTGTATATTAGTATAATTATCATAAAATTTTATTACAGATATATATATATAGAATTTATTTATTTTATAATAATTTATATAAAATTCTCATAAAATAATAATTTCTAATCATAAAATGAATAAAAAATTATTTGTTTTTGTAAAAAATATCAAATTTAAATTAATATTAATTACCTTTCATTTATTTAATATTACAAATATTTTTTTAAAAAAAATTCTTTAATCATTAAATTAAATTTTATTATATTTAACATTCAGATAAATTATTATATATATATTTTTTATAAATTTAAGTAAAAAACAAATTATTGTATAATAAAAACTTATATATAAATTTTTTATTTTTAAATTTCAAAAATTATTGATTTTTTTATCTTTAACTAAATTCAATTTTTCTTAAATAATATTTTTTAAATATTATATTTGATTAGTCATTTAACTATTTTATTCTTAACACCTCTTTTATAAAATATTTTATTATTCTACAATATAATTAATATGATTTTAAATTTAGTCAAATTCTTATGTAATTTCGTCATCTTAGTACATATTATTAGTTTATAATTTTTGAAAATTATTATTATAGATTGGTGATTAACTTATATTTTAATTAGTATAAAAATTAGAAATATTAGGAAAGCCATTATTATTATTTTATTAAAATTTTGCTAATTTCAAATTTTCATTTATTCTTTTTTAATCTTAATAGAATTATTGTTTTAATTATTTAGCTTCATAATTTTTCTACTCAAAACTATTTAAGTAATTTATATTCTCAAAAATTTTATTATTATATTAATTCCAATTTTTTTAATTATATTAATTATTATTGAGTTGATTTTAATTAAATTAATTATTATATCCATTATAGGATTAAATTTATTTATTATTTATTTATTAAGAACTAAAAACATTATTTTTTCCACATGTAATTCTTTATTTTATTATCTTTTTAAAAATTCACATTCCAAAGACTTTTCTTCAATTAATAATTTTAATTTATTTAATTCTATTTATAGCTCATTATAATATTCATAATTAATATTAAATTTTTCCTAATAATTGCCATTTTTTTTCAAAAATTCAATCTCATCGAATAAATGCCTATTTTAAATTTCTAAAAGTTTTCTTTTCTCCTCACTTTCATAATATTTTTATTTCCAATCTTATTCATTATATTATGTAAAATTCCTCTATTATTAATATTTATAATTATTTTTGTTATCATCTATCATAGGATTAGGAGGTGCATAATTATAAAACACAGAGTTATTCGAGTTATTAAAATTATTATAATTTTATTAATAATTATTATTCTATGGAGATCGCTAATCTAGATTATTTTCTGATTTACTTCTACTATTTTAAGCATTTTAAATGTTATTTTTTTAATCATTTATATTGTTTAAATTCTATTAATTATTTTATTAATAATTAGATTACTAAAATTATTAATTATTATTTTAAAGTTCAGATGGATATTATTATTAATTGTTTTGATAATATTTTTGAGAATTTTAAAATTAATTATTGTGTTTTAGTATTAATTATTATTTTCAGGATTTTATATTTGTTTAGATTAAAATTATTACTAATTAATTTAATTATTTGATGGTATATTATAACTATTTCCATTTTTTTGATTATAAAATTAATTTTTAGAATCATCTTATTAAGATTAGTTATTTTATTTGTAGTCAGTCTGCATTTTTTTATTTTGATTATATATTATTATATTTTATATGTGGATAAAAATTAAATATTATTTTTTAATATGTTTTTTTTTAATAATTTTATTTATTTTATAAATTTTTTTTTTTATAAATAATGTATATATATAAAATATCATTAAATATATTTTTTTGTATTATATGTATAAAATTTTAAAAAAAAGTTTGATATATTATACATTATAATTATTTATGATTTATATATTATAAAATAATTATTTTCGTTTAATATTATTTAAACCTATTAAAAATTGTATGTTACTTAGTTAAAAATTTTATTTTATAATTTAATTTTTTTTAAATTATTCTCACTTCTGAATATTATTGTTTAATATTAATAAATTTTATATTAAATAATATACATAAATATGAATAAATTAATATACAGATTACCAAAATAAAAATAAAAAATATTTTTATTTTTCTAATATTTATTATTTTAATATTTATATATTATTTTTCTTTTATAATATTTAATTTAATGCTGTGTTTATATAAAAAAAAGAAATATAATTTATATTTTATTATTTAAAAACTAAAAAATAGATTTTTATAAATAAATTTTAAAATAATTATTGTTTTATTAAAGTTAAAAAAGAAGAATTCCGAAGATATATTTTAAACACTTTTAAATTTTTCGTATATTTAGTTATCAAATCTAAAACAAAATTATCATTTTTAATTTATTTTATATATTTTAAAAGCTTTTATATTGTAAAATTAATATCTATTTATTTCAATATCTAAGTTTTATTATTATTAAAAAAGTATTTTTTTAATTTTAACAACAACGACAAAATACTTTAATAATATTTGTCTATTAAATATGTTTATTTTTAACTAAAAAAAATTCATTTACTTTTATATCTAAACATTATTTTTTATCTTATTTTTCTAATACTTTTTCTATAGTTATTGTTAATTAGTTTTACAATTTTTTAAATTCAGACACTTATATAAATTTTGTTTATTTAATTGCCATAGTTTTTATTTGAAAGAAATATATATTTTTTTTTTGGACTTCATTTCACTAAAATTCAATACAATTTAAAAATATTAATTATGTATTGATAAGAATTATAATATTTTTAAAAATTTAAATATTTTTTAATTGCTTTTAGCTTTGTTAACCATATTATTTTAAGACTTTTCATTATATTTTTATTTAAAATTAATATGTTTATTATAATGTTTCTATTGCTATTTAAAAATTTTATTTGCTTTTATTAATATAATATTTTTATGCTCTTAGCAGGCATCCTTTTTAGTAAAAGTATTTTAGGAAATTAAAAGGAATATATTTGTGTCAATAATAAAACAAATACCTTAAATAGAAATATAAATATAATATATGATTTTTAATTAAAACTTTTAAAATGAGTGAAAAGTTATTTGACTTGTTTATAGATTTTTTATTTTTACGCTGAACTGTTTATATCTCAACAATAACAAAAAATTATCAATATATATATTTTTCTCTGTTTTTTTTTATTGATTGAGCTTTATTTAAAAAAAAATGTATATATAGAAAACAATAAATTATAACAAACTAATAAGTAATATTACTGTTTTAGTAAAAAAAAGATACATTAAGTAATGAAAGATTTTTTAGTTTTAAATATATATTTACAAAAATATTAAAACATAAAATATATTTAAAAGAGGATAATATTATAATACACTTGATTTTAAGTATGCTGTAGATAATTTAAAGTGAAAAAATTTTTTTAATCCTTTTTCATTAAAAAAATATATCATAAACAAAGAATAGAATTTGAAAAACATTATGTAAAAAAATACTTAAATAAAAAAATAATCTACAAACTTTAAATGAATAAGAAATCATACAAGGAACTTGAATATTAAAAAACTAAAAATTATAATAAAATGAAGTGCTGAATTTCAATAAAATAAATGAAGGATGTAGATAAAATCAAAGATGTAATAATTTCTTTGAAAAATATATAAGAAAGCTTTGAATAAATTAAATAAAAATACGAAATTAAAAAGCAATAAACAATTAAATATATTAATTAAAATATGAAGACTATAATTATATTATTAAATAAAATTTTTAAAATATTAGTATTAAAAGCTAATAAACTGATGTAAATTCAAAACTTATAATAAAAAGCTTAATTTAAAATGAATTATATATATTTATAAAATCAAAAATAATTGCATAATATTTATACATTATATAATGTAAAAAGTATTTAAAAAATAGTTACAAGATAATAATTTTAATATGAAAATTCAGAAAATGATTTATAGAGATCTTTTAAATATATTACTAATAATTATATTATTTTATACAAAATATTTATAAATATAAAAAAGAATAATAAAAAATCAATTATGACAGATTAATTAGTATTATCTAAAAGTTAAAGATATAAAGAAATAATAATTATCTTAATTTGATTTAATTTTTTGGAAGATGAAGATAAATAAAAAACCAGTTAAAACTAATATGAGACTAAAATTAATTTTATTGAGAGTATTATTGAAAACAAATAGTACAAAAACATATATGATCATATAATAAAAGTTTAATAAAAGAAATATATTTTATAAATTAAAATTTAAACAGTAATAAATAAACAAAATTCATAACAATCAAAAATTATAATTTATTTAACTTTTTTTTTATAAAGACGATTGTATAAATATACTTCCTTAAATTAAAAATAAATTTAAATAAATAAAACCTAGTAAAACTTTTTAGAAAGGTATTTAAATTATATTTTAAATAATAATGAAGTTATTAATTTATAAAAACTTTAGAATATATTAAAGGTATTTATATTTCGAGCTTTTCAGATAGAAATATGGTATAAAAATATTAAAAGTTAATAGTTAAATTTAATTTAATTTTAATGTTTTTTATTGTTTAAGTTGAAAAATTTTCTATTTAACAAAATATTTTTTAAGAAAATATAAATATATTTATTAGATTTTCTTATATTAATTTCTTTCCTAAATTTATTATTTTTAAAGAAAAGAGAATTAAAAAAAGATTTGACTTTTAAGAAACATATATTTAAATAAATAAAAAATAAATTTATTTAATAAAAAATTATTTACTTTAATAAATATATAAAAATATCTTTTTTTATTTATTTTTTTCTTCTTTTAAATATTATTATTATATTTCATTTATTTAACATGTTTCTTGAAAAAAGTCCTTTTCCTAAATAACCAGAAATAATATCGAATTTATTATTAGATTAGTTAAGACTTTCTAAGAATTATTTTGAGTCATTTATTTGTGAATCAAATTATTCTTTTCTTTCTAATACACTTTTGAATTCTAAACTACATTTTTCACATTCTTTTTCCTTTCTTTCATTATGTAAGCATCCTTCATGATATGAATGTCCGCACATAAAATGAACTCTAGGATTAGAAAGATCTGTTTCACAATCTGAACATTTTTTAATGTTGAAAACCTAAAAAGTAATAAATAAATATCGATTTTTTTTATTTTTTTTGTTTAAAAAAATTGCCTTTGCTTAAGTTTTTATTTTCTAATATTCCTCTCTATGTTCTTTTGCTTAATTAGTATTTTTGTTTACTATTTCTTAATCCTTTTATATTTGTTTTTAATCTTCTTCTAATTTTTTTATAAAGTAATCTTTAATAGATTTAAATTTAACATTCTTATTTTTAGCCAATATATTAAGTACTAATAAAGGTGACAATGTATTTAAATTTTATATATTAAGTAATATTGTATTAAGCTTCTTTTCATTATCAGCTTATACTTTTTCATTTTTTGTTTATTTTGTGAAATATTTAAGTGCCTTTTTTTATATCTTTAATATAATTTTAAATACAATATACATTACTTAAACCCATAAATTAGTTTCTTATGATTCTGTAGAACATAATTCAATAATTTTATCACTTTCATTATTAGTAATATAAAAGTTAAGTAATTCTTCTTTTAATTGCATTTATTGACATAAATGAATTATTCCTGGTGCAAAATTATACATTTTAAATAATACTAAAAGATGGTTCTTATCATATTTCTTTTCATATTTTGGATTCTTAAGTACATCTATTATTTAAAACTTAACATTTTCTTTCAAAGTAAGTGGACCAATTTTTCTATTATATATATAATAATAATTTTGTTGTTAAAAAAAGATTAATAAATACATTTCATTTTTCGAATCATCTTAATAAATTTCTAAATAAAACTCAAAGAATCTATGAAAAACAGCTTTATCGTTTTATAAATTATCAACTTCTTCAAGTAAAAACTTTAAATAAGCTTCTAGTTAATCATCTTTTCCTGAAATAAAAATATGGAAAAACTCATCAGGTTTTCTAAAAGTAGTTTAAGAAATTTATTCAGCATCCTATTCTGAAAGACTAAAATATTACAAAACCTATTTACTTTTCATGTCAGTAATTTTTAATTCTGCTTAATTTGACTAAGATCTTTTAGAATTAATTTAAGTTGCTATATGGGACAAAAGAACGATTTTTTAAATAAGTTCAAGGCATTCTTTTGGGTTATTTTTCATTAGTTTTTACCCGAATTCTAATATGAATTTTACTTTGTCCTATAAATCAACTTTTGTCCTTATATAATCGATAGCTTTTGAAGCTGATTTTCCATTATTTTCCATTTCTTCCTCTTCTAAAAGAATATCTAAATATTATTCACTTTATTTATTTTATTCTGCTAGTCTTAAAGCTAAATCTAAGTTTTTACTTTCTCTACAAACTTTAATTGCAGTTTCTATATCAAAAAGTTGAGAATCATAATTTTATTCATTTAGAAATTTATCAAGTTTTTTAATGTCTTTTTACTTTACAAAACAATTCAATAATAAAGCTGTGTGATGCTTGTCTGCTTATTTTTTAGAGTGTACTTCTTCCAAATATTATATTAAATAATCTATATGTGCGACATCTAAAAATTTTCGGATTATGTATGATGGTTCAATATATCCTACTGTTTCTATGTACTTTTTTATAGCTAATTCGAATTCACCCTTGGTTTTTGTTTTTTTGTTTGTTTTTGTTTGTTTTTGTTTGTTTTTTTTAGTTTTTTACTTTTCCATATAAATTATCTCCATGAAGTCTTGATATTTCTGCTAATAGAGAAAGATCTGAATTTTGATTTTTTGCGAATTTCCAAGCTACTTCATAAAATGAACGCTTAAAGAAATATTCGATTTTATAAGCATTTTCTCTTTCGACTAGTTTTATTAACTTTTTTTCTCCTTTTTATGTCATATGCATTAAATGAATAAAGTTTTGAGAAATTATTAATTATTATATGGATTTATAGTTTTATTTAAAGGCTATATATTCATTTAATAAATCAAATATTGTAATCTAAAAATCTTCTTTTTAGAAAGAAAGAATTATTAAATAATTATTTTTGAAACATCTTATTTCCTATTTTTTTTTTAAAAAAAAATTAATTAAATTTATATTTTAAAAGTTTATATATATTTTTTAATTAACATTTTTTAACCAATTTTCATCTTCAAAAGCAAACTATCTTAATTTTTCCTTTATATCGAATTCCATAATTGTAGAATTATCAGCATTACAACATCCGATAAGAGTTCCTTTAGCAGTAAGATCAAAAAGTTATCCTCCTGGTTAATAAAGTATATGTTTTTTGGTACAATCTTGCCAGCATTGAATGTTTTCATCAGTACAAACAAATAAATGGATACACTAATCAATTTTAGAAAGGAAAAGTTATTTAATTCTCTAATTACTAGGTTTAATATTAAACTCTTTGTAAGCCTAGCTTGCCAAATCAATAGACTTTAATAAAATAACATTACCGTCTTTAAATCCAAGTGCAATGGCTGTTAAATCTTAAGTTAAAGTAAAGGACATACAATCTTTACTTTGGAGATTTTTCCCTATTTATATTGTTCGAATTAATTTTAAAGGATTTTCCTATTATTATTCTGGAGAATATATTTTTAAATAAGAATATGTATGCTCTTAACTTTCTGAACCATATGCAAGTAAATATTATGGAGATTTATATATAGAATATAATTGGTGCTAAAAAGGTTAAAAACTATAGATTATTTAATCCTTTTCATGTATAAATATAGTGCTTAACTTCTTTGAACAAAAATATAATCGATGATTTATGTATTCGCCTTTACTTATGTCTACATCTGATAAGGAATGTTCTGTATGGTTTTTTGATTTATCTTCAATTTCTGTTTCTTAAAAAAATTGAAATTTCTTATATTATTATTCGCCTTTTTGTGTTTTTTATTACATATTTTTTTTGTTTTTTTTGTTTTTTTTTTAGATTTTTTGTTTTTGTTTTTTTTCTTGTATTTTTAAATATAAAATATCATGTAGTATTTATTATTTTATATAAATAATATTTTTCTTTATTTTATTAAAGTTATTTATTAATGAAATCAATCAAAATTTCAAAAGAATTGCTTATAAGGATTATTTTATGTATAATTACTATCTTTTAAATCACATAGAATTTTTTCTAATTCTGAACAAATATATCTGTTTTCTTAAGAAATAAACTAAAAAGGACCCAATTTTTGTTCAAAGAATTCATACTTTTCTTTATTATAAGTAATAGGCATTTTATTAAGGGAGAAGTTATTTATTAAATTAACTTTTTTTTCAAAATTTGGATAATATTTAAATTATAATTTTCCTTTTAAATTATCTACAACAGTCATTTCATTTTAAATTTATTCATGTAATCTTTTGAGTTTTTAACATTAAAAAGTAAGATAGAGATTATATATTTCATTATTAAAGATTTAAAGTTCAATCTTTAAATACTTTATAATATTTCTTTATTATATTTTATCATGTCTATATATATCATTGCTAATAATTTTATGTAAACTCTTCTATATTTAGAATTGGTCACAAATGATTTCCTTTTGTTCTTCATTTATTAAAATTTCATTTAAAAAACTACTTTTATTGGCTAATATTTTTACTACATTATTATAGTATTGTTTTTTACTATGAATTCTTTTCTATAAGTTATTTAGATTTTACATTATTTCCTTACATATGTTTCCAAATAATTGACCTTTATTTGTTATTTTAGTAAATTTATTTGTATTTGATTAGTTTTCGCTTACTGCGCGTTTTCCGATTTCTAAATTTGGTAAATTTTTAGTATTTCTAAATGTTCTTCGACTTACTGTTTATATTTTTTCGCCTTCATCTGTTAGTATATTACTGGAAATGTTTATTTTTAAACTAGTTTTTTTTTATTTTATTAATTAATAACTTTAATATTCATTTTATTATAATTTATATATAAAAATAATAATATTGAAAAAAAAAAAAACAATAAATTTTTATTCTAATTTGTCAGGCTTTTATATTAAATTATTACTTTTTTAAAATATATAAATAATTTTTTTAATTTCAATTATTTTGTTTTAGTTTCTGCTTTTTAATTATAGAAGGAGAATTTTATATAATTTTTGTTTAGTTATTTTTTTATATTAGTTTATTAGATTACATTAATTAAAATTAATAATTTTCTGTATTTTTTTCTTCTATTTTTGTATTTTACATTATTAAAGATGAATTATCTTTCTTTCCTAATTATAGTTATATATATTTTTTTTCTAATTCTGAATATTTTATTTTATATTAATCAATTTAGTATTAGAAATCTTATAAATTACTTTCTTTTTCCTATTTTAATATTAATTTTATATAAATTATTTATATTTACATCTAATTGTTATATTATTTGTTTTATTCCTTACATTAAGTCTATTTATTAACTATTATTATTAAGGTTTTATTTATTTTCAAACTTTAAATTAGTGTTTATTAAGTTATTAATTTGTATTATAATATTCTAAAGATAATTATTCTCTTATTTTAAAATCTAAAAAAAAAAAAAGGAATAAACTAATTAGTTTAAATGAAATACTATATTTTACTTATATTTCTCCTAATTTTTCAGATTGATTTTATTTTTCTATCTCTTTTTTTAAATACAAATTTTCATCTTTTATTTTATTTATTAATTTTTAGACTTCGTCACTATTTTTGTTGTTGTAGTTTTTTTTTTTTTTTTTGGTTTAATATTTTTTATAAAAAATTACAAATAATTTTGTGTAAAAATAAATACTTTTATTTATTTTCAAACAAAGTTTAACTTATTTTTTCATTGTTTTCAATAATTTAGGTCCTTAATTTTTTATCATTTAATAATAATCTTTATTTTTTGTTATTAAAATAAAAATAAATGCATTTTTAAATTAATAAAAAAATATACATTTTATTATCTTCAATTAATTTGGCTTTTTCTTTTTCAATCTCTTAAATTTGCATTTAGTAATTAAATATGTCTTAATTTTAATTTTAAAGTTATTTCTAATATTTTTTTTTAATTTTAAAAGAAAATAAAAATATATATATATATATATACCATAATATTCTAATGCTCAATTAAAAAATTAGAATATTAAATTTCCATATCTTTGTATTCCTTTTCTTTATTTTAAGCAAATATTTAAGTATTTTAATAAAGAGCTTTCATTTCTTATTTAATACTAAAAATAGTATTTTTAAGAGTTTCGATTTCTTAATTTTTTGTTTAAATAGTATTATTTTAACTACTTAATCCGTTTTCCAGTTCATTATTGAACAAATTAATTTTCTAAATAAGAGTTTAATTTTATTATTGCAAGTTTAAATTTTCATTTTATAAAAAGGAATTTTATTTGATGTGTTTTTGAATATCATCATTATATTCTATTTATTTATTTAATTAATTAATTTATTAATTTTAATTTTCTATATGTTAATTATAGAATTATATTTATTCCTAGAGTTTATTTATGAATTATTTTTGGTCTTAGTTTTCTTATTTTTTGATATTAATTTGTTCTTATAAATTATTTTTTTGTAAACTAATGTCTTTTATTTATTAAAATAAAACTTTTATTTATAAAACTTATTTTTAAATAAGTTATTCTTATTCATAAAATCCTATTTCTTTTTAGCATTTTTTGTCTTAATTTTTTTTTTTCATTTAAAATAAAAATCAATTTTTCAAAATAATTTTCAAGTGTTTTTTCTTGTTTTTTTCTGATTTTTTTTTATTATCTTTTTTTTCTTTATTTTTTTTCTATTCTTATAATATTTATTTTATCCTTATTTTTAAATTATCTTCTTTTTATTTCAATTTATTTATATCTTCTTCCTATTTTTGTAAAATATCTTGCTTTTATATTATTATTTTTTCCTATTTTTCCTTTAATAATTAGATGTTTTCTTTCATTATTTCTTCTTTTTCTTTATTTTAAGTCTAAAGTTTATTTATATATAGATCTTTTTATAAAAAATCTTATTGGGTTTCATGAATTTAATTTTGTAATTAATCTATAATTGATTCTTTTTAAATAATTTCTTTATTTTTTTCAATTATTTCTTACTATTTTAATTTGATTTCTTGATTTTTTTGATTTAATTCTGAAACTTTTTATTTGATTTCTTCATTTTTATTATTAATTTCTTGATTTTTTAAATTTAATTCTACATTTATTTAATTAAATTCTTAATTTTTTAATTTTTTTAACTCTTCAATATTACAGATTTATTCTTTTTAACAAATTTACTTAATTTTTTAAATTTCCTCATTTTTATTTTCAATTTCTTATATTTTTTCTTTAATTTCAGTTTGCTTTTCATTAATTTCTTATACTTTTTCTTATATTTCGTATGATTTTTCTTATATTTCTATATATTTATCTTTAATTATTTATGATTTTTCTTATAATTCTTTGTTTTTTTCAGATAATTCAATTGTTTTTTCTTAAATTTCAAACTATTTTTTTTAAATCTATTAATTTAATAAATTTATTTATTCATTTTTTTCCTCTATTAATATATTTTTATTTTATATTTATTCTTATACAAATTAAATTTCTTTATTTTTTAAAAGTAAGTCAGAATCTTTTTGTTATAATTTTTATTTTTCTGTATATAATTCATTTTGTAAGTTTTCGATTTCTTAATTTTTTTATTAAAATAAGTTTTCTTTTTATTACATTTCTAATTCCCTTTATTCTAATTGTTAGTTTTTGTATTTAATTTCTTAATTTTTCTATTAAATTTCTAAATTTTTGTATTTTATCTCTTCTTTTTTTTATTAAATCTCATATTTTATTTTTTTAATTTCCTCAATCTTTTATTTTATTTCTTCATTTTTTTATTATAATTCTTCGATTTTTAATTAAACCTCTTAATCTTTTTAGAATAATTCTTTGTTCATATTTTCAATTTGTTCATTTGCTTATATTTTTTTTTATTTCTTTTTAAGTTTTATTTATTCTTTTTCATTCAAAAAATATTCTAATTAATATTATATTTCTTCCTTTTGTTAAATAATAATCTAACTTTACTATATAAATTATTAAATTTCTTCTTATAATTATTTAATTTGGCTTTTATATTATTACTTTTCTTAATTTAATAATTACAGTTATTCATTTTATTATTATATTTATTTATTATTTTAATCACTTAATTATTAAATTTAATTATTTAAAATAAAAATTTCATCATATTTTTATTATAAAATACAATTTTATTAATTAATATTTTCATTTTTTAATAATATTTCTTAATTTTATTATTAAATTTATTCATTTTTTTATTCAATTTAATTATTTATTTCTTAAATGTTTTATTTGTTTAATTCTTATTTTTTATTTAATTCGAAAATCAAATTGTTTTTCCTTCTAATTCTTATTTTATTAATATCAATTATTAACATATTTACTCTATTTAATTTTCCTATTATAGAATTACATTATTTTTATTTTCTATTTATTATTAATTTTGTTATATATTATCATTTAAACATTATATTTATTAATTTTTTTAATTATCTTATTATTTATTTTCATTTACTTTTTCTTTAATTTTTAAATCTTTATGATTAATCAATAAGTCTTTTTATTATATCTCAAGTTAATTTTTTTATAGTTATTAGTTTAAAATAAGGCTTTGTTCATTTTTATCTTCACAATCTTAACTCAACTTTTAAATTTAAACTTATAATTATTAAATCATATTTTCTTAATTATTAATAATAATATTTTTTTCAGATATAGTTTCTTAAAATTATATATTTTTAGTAAAAATAAACTATTCTTTTTCTTAAATATACTCATCTTTTTAAAAAATAACTTAATTTAATTCTTAAATTTAATTATTAATAATTTAAATGCTTTCATTATGTTTTTAAATAATCATATTTGTTT